TCTTTTGATAAAAGTAAATTTTTTATTTTTTAATATTTTAGTATTCACAAGAACAAATGAAATTCAAAAAGATTAAGTTTAGGCTAATATGAGTAATTGATAATAAAAAATTTTTTATGAAGAGATAATGTTAGGTATATTAAAGAAGTCTTGAAATAAAAATAAATTGAAAGAGATTTTCTGATTGAACAATAATTACTTTTCTTTGCTGATATATTTCGAACAGTTTGATCCAAGAAATAAATAAATTATTAAAGTTCCTAGAATATTTGTTTTCGATATCTTAAAAAAATAAATCTTCTATAATTAATTTGTATTAAAAGCAGGAGAATTGACTTTGGATGATGGATTTTTATTTCCAAACTCAAATAAATTCACCTATCTTTCTGATTTAAGTATCTTAAGTACTTAATATGATCAAGAGTTTTCAAAAAAGTCTTTTGGCAAAGAGTTAATTTCAGTTTTCTTTTTTACTTTAGATTAAATAAAAATAGTAAATATGGTTGAATATCCTAAAATATCAGAAATATTAGCAGATACAGGTTCTATTATAACTTGGAATCTTTCAATATCATTTATAGTATCAAAATAAAATGAAAATATTTGCTTATAAAAAACATAAAATGAAGTAATTTAAATGTATTATCATGATTTCATTGATTTTAAAATACAAAAGAATTGGTTAGGTAAAGTCATTAGGGTGAATTATAAAGAAAAAGAGTATGATCCTAAAAAATCAGAAGAAATTCTATCTAGATTAAATCAAATTGTTATTAAGAAAATGAATTACTTAAATTTATAAAATGAAGTAGCAATGTAAGTATTTTTGATCAAATTAAATTAGATTATAATTAATTTTATAAGAACATTTAGGATTGCAATAAATTAAAAAATATTTAGAATCAAAATATAAATTAGAACTACTTTTTGATAAGTTATGCCACCTGAAAAAACATCAAACTAATAAATAAATTAGATTAAATATCTTTTTAATTGTTTAAGAATATTTTAAATGAGCAGCTGAAGCAACTTCATAATTAGGAGGAGAAAATGAGATTATAGTTAATAAAGAAATTCTTTAAGAATAAGAAGTAAAACAAAAAATGGCTCTTCTAAACATTAAATCAGTTGAAAGTGAGAGTGCCTAATTTAAAGAATTAAATAGTCACTTATAAATCTAAGAGTCCTTTTAAAATTTAAATGCTTACATTAAAGTTATAAATGTTTAGAAACCAGGGAATTTACAATGATCTTTATCAAGTATATTAATAAAAAAATATCACGAAACTCTTAGTTATTTTAAATTGCAATAAAGTTTATTTTTTATTTCTGTTCGTAAAATAATTTATCAAAAAAAACAATTATTATAACTAATTTAAAATATATAGTTCCTAACATAAAAAGTTTGCTTAATTATTAGACTCTTTTTATTATTAATTAACGATTTCAATTTATTTAAAATAAAAATTATGGATGATGAATTAAAGCTATCAATATTGGCAAAAAAGAAAAGTTTTGAAAAAAAGATTATTTAAACAAACAAATAAATTTTAATTAAAAATTATTAAAAATGTCGTATTTTCTATAATCAATAGATCAATTCGGAGCTTAATAAAAACTATAAATTCCCCCAATAAATCCTACATAAAAAAGTGCTTTTGGTGGATTAGTAACTCTAGCTTTGTATGGAATTAGTTTAGGATACTTTTTATTTTAATTTGTTGATTGGCAATAAAATAATAAACTTCCCAAAGTAACATCTCTTTAAGACTAAATTGGTGAAAATTAGTAATTGAATATAAAAGGAGTATTCGCTGAAATAATTTACATTAAAGAACTTAAAAATTAAATAGATCCTTTTGATCCAGAGAATTTGATATTATAACCATTTTTAATTAGCTTTACCAATAGTTATTCAAATGTAAAGTATATTTTTAACTAGGCAACAATTATCAATGCTACATTTTCAAAAAATACAACGTAAAATGGATAAATTTTTAATACCCTATTTCTGTAAGATATTGTACTTTAAAATACACCCATAAACTCGATACATAATTATTATACTAATTATGAATTATCAATTGGATATTGTAATCAAGAGTAACTTTAGGATGGATAAAAATGTGCCAATTAAGATTTAGTCGATAAATTTTTTTTATAGGATAACGAGTTTTAATTGTTGATTTATTTTGAACAATTTGATCAAAGAAATAAAAAAATCATTAAAGTTCCTAGAATATTTATTTTCGATATCATACAAAATTAAATCTTCTATAATTAATTTGTATTAAAAGTAGGAGAATTGACTTTGGATGATGGATTTTTATTTCCAAACTCAAATAAACTCACCTATCTTTCCGATGTGACTATCTTAAGTACCTAATATGATCAAGAATTTTCAAAAAAGGTTTTTGGCAAGGAATTAATCTCACTGTTATATTTTAATTTAGATTAAATAAAAATAGTAAATATGGTTGAATATCCTAAAATATCAGAAATATTAGCAGATACAGGTTCTATTATAACTTGGATTCTTTCAATATCATTTATAGTATCAAAATATAATGAAAATATTTGCTTATAAAAAACATAAAATGAAGTAATTTAAATGTATTATCATGATTTCATTGATTTTAAAATACAAAAGAATTGGTTAGGTAAAGTCATTAAGGTGAATTATAAAGAAAAAGAGTATGATCCTAAAAAATCAGAAGAAATTCTATCTAGATTAAATCAAATTGTTATTGAGAAAATGAATTACTTAAATTTATAAAATGAAGTAGCTAAGTAAGTATTTTTGATCAAATTAAATTAGATTATAATTAATTTTATAAGAACATTTAGGATTGCAATAAATTAAAAAATATTTAGACTCAAAATCTAAATTAGAACTTCTTTTTGAGAAATTATGCATACATGAAAAAACACCAAAATAATAAATAAATTAAATTGTATTTTTTTTTTAATTTTTGAAGCATATTTTAAATGAGCAGTAATTTGGGAGGGTTTCATATTCAATAGGAGAAAGTGAAATAAGAGCTATTTATAATATATCTTTGGATTAAGAAATAGAAGAAAAAATAGGATTGTTATCCATAAAAATAGTAGATAATAGCTAAAATGAAAAACCTAACAGCAATTAAGATATAATATAACCCCTTAACAATTTTAGTGCTTAATTTTAAGTCATTAATATTGAATAGTCAGTTGATACTAGATGATTAAAATGTTGAAGAGTTATTTCAAATAAAATATTAAAATTATTTATTTAAGTCTAAGTTCCTTTAAATTTACCTTTTTTTAAAATTTTTTTAGTATATTTAATTATATGATTACTTATCTAAATATAATTATTATAATTTTAATTAAAAACTTTAT